TCGCCCGCACCTGGCCCGGAGGCCGGGAACGTCGGTGATAACGGCGTCGGGCGGAGCTCCGGGGAGCCCGGAGCCCGAGGAGAGGCTGCCGTCAGCCGCCCTGACTCCCCGAAGTCGGAAGTCCTCCCGAGTGGGAGGAGACGTTCGCCTCCAGCAAAACTGCCCGGACACGCGAACTCCTACGAATCAAGGAGGAAAAGCCTCTCAGTAAAGTGTGGGTACATAGAACAGGTATTTCTCACACAAAACAAATCGGCGAGGCCAATACATATTTGTTGTTTCTTGGATAAGGGGTTCATTCATTCATAATCAGAAGATGGCACATTAAAACCACAGTGGAGGCCAGGCACGGTGGCTCACGCCTGGCATCCTGGCACCTTGGGAGGCTGAGGAGGGAGGATTGCTTGAGCCCAGGAGTTCGAGACCAGCCTAGGCAATATAGCGAGACCTCGTTAATCATAATAATAATAAATAAAAATTAATAATAATAATGATTAACCGAGAGTGGTGGTGCTCACCTGTTGTCCCAGCTACCCGGGACACTGAGGCAGAAAGATCACCTGAGCCCAGGAGACTGGTGAGCGTGTCCTGCGACTGCACTTCGGCCTAGGCGACTGGGTGAGATCTCGACTTAGAGATCTGTGTGAGCAAAAACCAACAAACAACAACCCAAAACCCCAAAACAAAGCAGAACCGCACAGTGGATAATTTCACATCCACAGGGCAGGCATAAGTTTAAAAGTCTGACAGTGCCGGGTGTTGGGGAGATGCAGGACAAAGCACCCTCACTGTTGGGAGTGTAGGCTGTGCAACCAGGTTGGAAGATGGTTTGCCATCAGCCGGGTGATGTCTGCCTTAAGATCCAGTCATCTCGCTTTTAGATATTTGCCCTAAAGAAGTGCTTATGTACATCCGAACTGGAAATAGCTGAAATGTCCATCAATGGCAGAATGGTTAATTAAACTGTGATATTTAATATGCTGGCAAACTGCACAGTGGTGAAAATGAATGAAATACAGCTACATGCAACAACACGAAGGCATCCTAAACATATGATATTAAGCAATAACAGCAAACACCCAGAAAAAAATAGACATTGTATGATTTTGTATGTAAAATCTAGAGACAGGCTAAATTATACTCTACTATGTTTATCGAGAAAACTATGGGGGAAAAGTAGTGATTCCCATAAAATTAGGACTATGGTCAGTTCTGGTAGGTATGGTGATCGTTATGGGGAAGAGTGCTTTTGAGATTGGATTTCCTGACCTTAATGGTGGTCACATAGATGGTCATCTTATCACAATTCATGAAGCTGTACATTTATGTATGTGTAGAATACCTCACTATCAAAAAAGGTTTCAAAGAAGAGTTTAGGAAGTGATAGGAATTATATGGCCATTAAATTAGCATTAAAACCACAAGTAACCAGAGCCCACAGGTTCATGACCCACCTGGGCAACTTGGTGAGACCTCGTCTCTACAATAAATAAAAAATTAGCTGGGCATGGTAATGCACGCCTGTAGTTCCAGCTACTTGGAAGGCTGAGGTGGAAGGATC